GAGCTTATAGTCTTCTTTGCTAACTTTTGTCAACCTGGTTACGGCAGTTTTTTGGCTGCATTCTCATGTTCATTATGACTCTAATCACTACCAAAAAATACTTTTTCGATATCGTACTTTTTCTATATTGAGATGAATGAAAGCACGGTAGTGACTTTTGGTACCATAACCTTACCTTGATTTAAATCTTCTTTGTATTGCAATATTTGCAATGTTGATTGTGTCATGTCTTTGCTTTAGTCATGTTGTCCATTAAAATTACATAAGAATTATTGAAACCTAACTTTTGTCAAATGATTGTCCAATCCCAGCTTAAGGAAATAATTACGAGTTTAAAGTATGCATGATTGGGAGTAATACTATATCAGCATTGTCACATGGTATCACTAACTAACTTTTTGTATTAACTTACTGGAGTTGATACTGCTACAAGTTTCTTCACCACAAAGTTCATCGCGCTTCTAGTTATATGGTTGAGAAATTTTGAGTAAGTAGTGGCTCAACGCTTTTATTAACGTAGATGTAAGTAGGGGACCTAAAAAAATTATTGTTTCTTCATTAAAGACTAGCATGCGTGCACACACTCTCTCTCTCTCTAAATCTATAGAAAAAGTAGATAGAATACTTTGAAATATTATATTATTCAATTGATTGAATAAAACTCGTACTACATAAACCAATTTATAGAAATTATCAAAGCCCCTAAAAGTTTTCAAAACTAACCTAAATTCTTAATTATATGAAAGTTAATAAAACAAATTAAAACACTATAGAGTATTTTATGTAACTAATTCCGAAGAAAATTGGCATATTTTTGGTAAGTAATTACTTTAGAATATTCCTAATTAAATTCTAACCTAAAGAGCATAAAATATATAGCAATTGTGAATCTCGTTCTACATCATGTACTTCCCTAGATATTCTTCAACCATACAATTATGCTTTTGTAGTTTGATCAGCAATCTCAATGGTGATCGCAGCTAACTTTAAATTGGTACACTTAATTGGTACCTTGCGTGTTTGTTAATTTACATTGGGTATTTAATAAAATTTACCTTCCAAAAAAAAAAAAAAAGACCAGATGGGCTCTACCAGAAAGTCCATTGTTGGTTCAACGGTTAGAGATGTCTGAGTTAGTTTACACTCACCTCGACTAATTTCGTCCCCAGTCCGATCAAAGACATATCATTTTTATCGAAACTAGGGTATTCATAAGAAATCTCATTGTCGAGAGGTTGCTAAGATTCGTTCAAATCCACCTTCACTCAAGAGAAAAGTGTTGGTTAAACTATTTCCTAATGGTTGCTCGACCTTGAAATGTTGGGTATTGCATTTTTGGGTATCTTATTCATTTGGAGTCAGCTCATAAAGAATAAATCCCTCATAAATTCTCAAGTCTTGACTTGAAGGACATGCAATTGATCGGAGTAGGTAAGAAATTAGTCGGGTATATGCAAGTTAGTCTGAACACCCTTAATTTTAATACCAAAAAATTAGAAAAAAAAAAAAAAAGGAAATTTCACACCATATAAGTGTCATAATATACTCTTGATAGATTTACCAACTACATGCTTAAATTTTTAAATGGATAAAAATTCCAACCATGTATATTCGACCTTTGAAACCGGGCTCGGATTATGTCTGATCCAAAATGGTTTTGAAAATCTTAGCCATTTTTTCGAACTTCATTCCCCAACCCAGCACATAGCTAAGTGGCCCAATATTCCCCCAGTCTGCCCCAAACAAGCCATACTGGGCCTCGATCCCTCGTCAGCCCAATTCTGGGTAACAACGTTGAATCACAAGAACTCGTGATTATTAATAGGTTTGTTTAAATTTTCGATTACTTGTAATTTTCTATCATATTTGACCCTATTGATCAGTTAATCAAAAAAATTGAGTACAAATACGAAAGATTTTTTGGTCTTTCAATTAAATCAAGTAGCAATACAGAATACCCATTAAATTTTCATATTCTTATCCTACTTTAACCGCATATATATATATAATTTGTGGTGATCTATTGGAGAAGTTGTATATAAATATATACCATTTGAAGTTCGATTCGACAATCTACCGAATTTTATTTTCTTACTACATATTCGAATCCATTAATAAGTGGAAATTCGATCCAAATAACTTAATTAAATAAATTTTAACAAATTATATCAAAATTTTAGTTGAAAATTTAAAATAATCACTTAATTTATTTAATATTTATATAATTATATTTAAATAATTCGGATCGAATATAGGTATATCAAAATCTGAATCCGTAAAATATAAGATATCAAATTCAGATTCCAATTATCAATAAAAAAATTAATTCATATTCCACTAATCAGATTCGAATCCATTGACAACCCTATTACAGGTATAATCATAGATGACGTCAAGTATGCCCACATCATTCTTTCTTCTCTCCCCATCGTCACTCAAACGGTGGGCAGAGAATTGTAGTTGGCTTCTAATTAGGAGCAAGAGAGAGAATAATGGGAGTGGGAAGGAACTTGGAATTATAAATTTAGAAAATACGTAAGACAGCCAATCCTTAGTTTCAATTAAGATTAAGAAAACCAGGGTCTAACCCATCGTAATGAAAGGCATGTGACATGCCAGCCATGCAAGAATTTAAGTCTATGGAGTCCTTAGAGTGAGGGAACTTATTAGCCTTTTAAAATGATTGAATTTCGATTTAAATCCGATTTGAATTTATTTATATATTTTTGATCAATTATCTAAATTTGAATCCGTTATTACATATTTCATGAATTTGAAATCAAAGATATTGATAATTTATCCAATGTGAAGAGATTATTGTTTTGAGTTGTGTTTCTTTTAAGAAATTTTGTTTGTTAAAACAATTAAATTATTTTGATTTGAGATTAAATTTATGTAGTGGTAGCTATCTGTAAATATGTAGTTGATAGTAGCGTTGTTTAACACGAGGTTAAATGTTTTGGTGAGGATTTGAACTCATATTACAGACTTGGATACAGTTCCTACAAGTAAATGAGATACGTCATATTAATCAACTACGTTTTTTGTGGTCTAGAAGATTTGGACCTTTAATTTCAAAAAGACAAGAAGTACGATTAGGTCAAAGACCTGTCAATACAATACCATTATTTTTATTCACTATGAAATATATTTCTAGCATAATTTAACGTTCTTCTATTTAGTATACCTTCTAATTGATAATATTTTTTATTTATTACGTAATTTCTTCGACACAGACAATACTAATGTTATGCTTTATTAAGTTACTTGAATTTTTGAGTTTTAATGAATTCGGATATGAATTGTAAACAACGGACCTAATCTTATCCATTGATAGGTCTACGCAAGTTGGCATGCAATTTCTTAACAATTGCTGGGAAAAACAGAAATTGCCAAATTGGAAAAGTTCGTCCTCTCAATAAGAAAAATAGTCAGAAATATGAATGGTTTACCAGCAAGTGGATTAGAAATTGGAAACGCAAGTTAGTGATCGAGAGAGAGAGAGAGAAGCCTTGCGGTCAAATTTCAGAGTAAAAAGGAAGAGGACAAATTTTTCAGTCTTCCATTTCGACTTTGAGCTTTCCATTTCAATGCAAGTTGGCACATAATCATTTGGAAGTATATAGAATTAACTTTTTTTTTTTTTTGGTCACAAGTGATCGGATTAACTTACGCATATCTTAATTAATCGGTTCTCAGATTCGGTTAAAGATAGATTATTTACACCAGAATTAAGATATTCATAAGAGGTAAATTTCTCATTGCCTGAACCCCAGAATTGTTAATATTCAAATTTAAGAAGTCTAAATTTTTGTGCTCATTTCTGTTAGTACTTGAGCTGCTCCCAGATTGTATAGAAGTAACTACAAACATGACTCTTTAACCATTCTATCTATATTAATTAAGTACCTAAACTATTTTATATGTCAATTTAGCCCTTCAATTATACAATCTATTTCAAAGTGGCCCTTCCGTCTAATTTTCTTTGAATTTTAACGAAATATCTCACGTATAGTTAAGACCTTACACGTGAACCACCGTCCTCAATTTTACGGCTTTGCTATGATTTCAAAATCTTTTCCTTGATAATAAAATCTTATTTTTGACATCTCTTTCGTAGACATCTTCAATGGAGATGTCAAATGTTATATGCCAAATTTAAAATTAAAGACTTATATGATAATTTGACATATAGCATTTGACATCTTCACTTTGCCCTCCAACCAATATATCAAAATAATTTATTTTACCTCATTTTTATCTTTAAATCTCTTTCCTTATATTAATTTAAATATATGTATTTAAAATAAATTTTAGTGTCAATTAAAATATATATTATTAAATCTCCTCTAACAATCACCATAACCCATCTTAAGAACTTTCGATTCAATATTTCTTTACTGTCAATTATCGATTGCAAATTAATAAGAGACTTACTTATATAATGAGTCTTCGTTGAATTTATAGTGAATGATTTATCATTGAAGAAAAAATAAAAGAAGCCTATTGAAGGGAATCGTGGTTGCTTCATCTATTACATCTTTCTCAAAAAACATTCTTCAAATCAAGAGTTAGTAATTGGGCTGATAATCTAGCTGTGCTTTGGTCAAGTTTATTTTTTTAAACTAATCTAAAAAATTGTTCAAGTTTAGTTCGTTTAAAAAAAGAGTCAAGCCGAACTCACGCTGAATCTGAATAATTTAAATATTTTACATATAAACGAGTCGATTCAATTTGTATTTTTGAACGTGTCTTATCCGAACTAAACCTGAATAGATCAGCTCCATTATTAGCCTAACCGCTCATTGTCCTAAAACAACTCTCCTAGGAATATTCAACGAAGACAAATAAAAGCAAAAAACTCCGTGTACTTCACCCATCAATTTCATTGTCAATGAATTAATTAAACACGTCATAACAAGACTATTAACATTGAAATAAACCTTCCAAGTGAAATAGAATACCATGATTTGGAGAGTCATTGACTTGGTGGTAGGTGATTACTGATAAGGCCAAAGTCTACGTTTCGAAGAGCTCAAAACCCCCTATAAAAATAGCAATTTGCAGCATATTTTTAGCGCAAGGGGATAAGAACTTCAGCAAAGTATCAATATAAGCAAAAGTTGACTTGGAGAGAGAGCGAGATGGCACCACCACCATCCACCGTGGTTTCTCCGGTTGTGGTCCTAATGGTGAGGCTTCTTACGTTCATCTGCCTACTGATATCTATGATCATCCTCACCACCAACACCGAGAACGTAGCCCTCCAGTTTGGCGAGGTGAAGATCCGGTTTAATGATGTTTATGCTTACCGGTTAGTGCCTTGCCGTGAATATTTATTTTTTATAACTTTTCATTTAAATTCATCTTGATCATATCAGATGTACGAACGAGTTAAAACGGATCAAGAGCTCAGTTGCTCAAGCTGTGAGTTTGACTTCTGATAATCTTTTGCTTCTTTAGAATTTTTGGAGGTTCTTGAGATAATTTTACCCTCGTACTTTGCATGCTATGGCCCCAGTCATGGCTCTTCACGTGTCAACTGTTCATTCCGTATTCTACCCCGTCTGGAAGTAGCTGCTAGCTTCACCTGAGTTCCCGTTCTTAGTTTGTTTTTCACTAAAACTCAAAAGTCGGAGTTTTGGTTTAAAGAATATAAATCGATCGCCCTTTCTAGTGCTGAAAGAGGTGCCCGTGAATATGTAGATGTATATGTCATGCATATACATTTTTGATTGAGTTATCTATATATATATATGACTCAGAACTTGTTACTTTGTATCTGCTGGACAGGTCATGTCGAGAATTGTTTACTCTAATTTTCATTATATCACGATTATTCAAATATTAGTGGAATTGGTTGCCAATTTTATCATGGTGAGTTGTAGGTACATGCTTGCTACCATTGTCATTGGATTTGCATACACTCTCCTGCAAACTGCATTCACAATCTTTCAAGTGAGCACCGGAAATCGCCTGGCCGGTGGTTGCCTGTACCAGTTTGACTTTTATGGTGATAAGGTAAGCCCTGTTCACATTGCTTTGAATCCACGCTGCTTTAAGAGATATATCTTTATTACTAAACAAGGGGAGGGGATATTTGGTGTCCACTCTCTGCGAAAGTTTCAGTTGTATTTGAGATGAATTATAAAATTTTAAAAATATTTGTTAAATAAGTATTTTTTTAAATATTTTATAAAAATATTTTTATTAAATAAACATTGTTTGAAGGGTCAATCAAAAAAGCACTCAAATAAAAAGTATTTTATCAAAAAATGCATTTGAATTATCGATTAAAAAATATTTATATATGTCTTAATTTTTAATGTATTCCCAAAACATATATTAAAAATCGAGTGATAGTGGACGGTGGTGATAGTGGTGGGTAATGGTGATTGTGGTAAAAGATTTGGAAGGAAAAAGTAGGAAAGTCACATTTTATTACCAATATATTTTTTCTGTTGGGGGAGGGGGGGGGGGAGATGAAAGTTACAAACTGTTCTAATATGGACGAGCAATATGTGAATGAAATTCATTTGGATGGTAGTAGACAACCTCCTCCATTCTTGGAATACTTTCCTAACACAAGCTCAAGCTCAGACCTCTAACCCGATAACCAGACTCTGCTCTGGTCCACCATCCAAAGAGCTTTTCCCACTTCCCAAATCCTCCTAATGTCAAAAATGGGCCAATGGGTGTTCAAATCCTTCCATTTGTCTCCTCTTCCCTCCTTCTTAATAGAGTACTACTATTTAAACCTAAAAATTTGATCTAATATACTGAAATAATGATGTGGCTTCAATTGAGCTATTGGATTAACATCAAGTTTCAATGTTTGATAGGTCCTACAGTTAATTCAAAGATTATAGTAAATTAGGTCAACAAATTAGATCCCAATAACATTGCTCTTCTTAAAAACTACCAAACAGATTATATTGCTCTCTTTTCCTCCCATCCCATGTGTTTTACTACATGATTCAATCCCAAACAAAGGATTGGGGCTTTATACCTTGAGTTTAGTCCGCATTGACCTCTCAATCCGCCAAATTCACCATAGATTAACATGTTTTACATATTCTCTTCAATGATGACTTCGAAATCTTTTGTTTGTAAGTACATGCTAATTTAAGTGTTTGACATGGATATCTCTACTTGTTTGAGCAGGTGATCTCTTACATGCTAGCCACAGGCTCTGCTGCTGGTTTTGGCGCCACGATCGATTTGAGGTCGGGCCTTTTGGGCTTTGGTTCTTTCTTCAACAAGGCCAATGCTGCTGCTAGTATTCTCCT